AGCACGGGGATGCTGATACACGAGACGCAGGAGACTGCTGGAGCACAGTAATTGCCACGGTCCAGCAGACTTGATTAATTGAGTCGGCTTCAATGCACTGGAATTCCAGCACATCGGAGCAGCCTCGGCAGTCATGTATAGATGCCCTTTGTACACAACTGGAGTCAGAAATATGCATAAAAGGAAAAAGAGGGAAAGCTGTGGCCTCAGGATGGTGGGAGAAATGTTGAATTCATTGTGAGAACAGAATGTGTTGCCTCACTTGTGCACTGGAAAGGAGATGGCTTTTGTTTGGCATTGAAGTTGCTGGAATGGGAAGACTTTATTATTGATTTTTTTTTTTTTTTTACATTTTTCCATACTTAGAAATATTTTCCTTTTTTTCTTCCTTGTTCTGTGAATAAGGATCTACTTAATCTGTAGTTTCCCAGATTTTGCGGAAACTGTCTGCAAAATCCACAAAATCAACAATGACAAAAAAACTTTATAAAAATAAAATACAGTCGTAGTCAGGAGTCCTCAGTGCTAGGAGGGGAAGGTGCCAGCTGGCAGGGTGTTATGAAGGGCAGCAGACAAGATGGCAGTTACCCTCTTCTCCCTCCCTTCGGGGCCTATCTGCCAGACAATGTCGAGGGGGCTGGGTAGCACAAAGGGCAGCCGGTGATTAAGAGGATGGCTGCCCCCTTGTCCCTTCTCACCCCTGGTGCCTCTCTGCCAATCAGCGCTGGGGGGTGGGACGGCCACGAAATGCCCGTGAAAGCAGCTCTGTGTGCTGCAAGTGAGCTGTGAAACTCCCTTTGTCTCACTGCAATTTAAGGAGGTCCCTATCAGCGACACTCAGTGTGCAAGATTCTGCTCTGTAACAGTAACCTATTATACTAAAGTTTCATATTGTGATGATGATGAAATGAATGTCACCAGACTCATATGTCGTAAGCATGAGGGCCAGATAACCAGCAACAGGTGGAACAGTTTATATCAGGGGTAGGCAACATTTTTTGGCCGGAGTGCCGAAAAAGCCCACAGTGCCTACCTTGGAAGGTGCTGGAGTGCCGGCATGCCAGAAAAACAAAATTGGGGCATGGGGTAAAGAGGGGTGGGGAGGCAGCAGCTGTTTGTAGCCTCCTGGCTGCAGCCGGCCCAGGCTCTGGGGTAGCTGCTGCCAGCTATAGTACCTGGGCTGCTTGCAGCCTCCTAGCCACCTGCTGGGAGCAGCCTGGGCTCCCGGCTGGCAGCAGCTACCCAGAGCTGGGACTGGCTGCAGATGGGACGCTGCAAACAGCTGCTGCCTCTCCACCCCGGCCCCAGTGTATGCCGACGAAAATGGGTTCATGTGCCATGCTCGGCATGAGTGCCAGGGGTTGCCGACCCCTGGTCTATATCAATAAGTCCTTGGGCTCCTGAAGGAGAGCCATAATGGCATCATAGATGGTGTGGTTGGTCATTTGAACTTGAGCACCACAGCTGCAGCCAGTGTTGTTGGAGAAGCCCCAGGACTGCATACTCTTAAACCAGGGGTGGGCAAAATGTGGCCCGCCAGGCCATTCTACCCAGCCCCCTAAAAAAATTAAAAAATTAATTTTTACCTGCCCCTGGCTGCCTGTCACGCGGCCCTCAATGGCTTGCCAAAACTCAGTAAGTGGCCTTCCACCTGAAATAATTGCCCACCCCTGTCTTAAACCATTCAATGCCCGTTCTGAAATGGTTTAGAGCAGTCCGGGCCCTGAGGGGCAGCTGCCAGCCTGAGGGGCGAAGCTGGTGTTGGGGATGATGTTCTTTAGCCATAGTTGTTGGGCTGCATATTGCCTGCTCCACTGATGCGAGGTCCGTGTTGTGAGTAACATGTCATTTGCAGATTCGATGAGCTTATTAGCCTGAGTGAAGAATGGGTTCCAAGACTTCAGGCGGTAGTTGTTTTTCTGGCTTGTGGCTTCTAGGCAGGAGTGGAAAGAATGGTTTGGATCTTGGGCTTTGAGGCCTAGGGCCAGGGTAGCAGCTTGTCTCTGGATGTCAGTAAGGGCTAGTAAGCAGGCAACTGGAGTTGCTATAAAGTGGGGCATAGGGCAGTTTAATATTGTAATGGACTGTAATGTTGAATGTCATGTACTGTAATGTTGTAATGTGAACTACAGCTCCCAGAAGCCTCCAGGGGACTGGAGGAAAGAACTGTAGTGTGCACTACAGTTCCCAGAAGGTTGCAGGAGACAACAGAAGCGAAAAAGCAGCAATGGAGCACAGGACGTGGTGGCTGAGAGATGCGTGGCAGGAGACTCGGATGGAGCACCAGAGCCAGGACTGCGAGCTGCATCAGTAGGGCTCAGATGTGGGAGCCCTGGCAGATGGCAATTAAGCATTTTTGGGACCAGAGGCTGGTTGGGAGTCCCTCCAGAGCAGTTGGAGGGTTTACAGTTTCTCAAGTGTATATACTGTGGTATAGTTTTCCCTTCATATTACCTGTTCTTGGATGATTTCACCACAGTGCCACTGTTTATTACCTGTTACCTGGATTCTAAGTGTATGTACCTTAATGTTAATGTTTATTCACCTGTGCCTGTCCTTACCCATTGACTTGTGACCCTAATCCCCAGCACCTCCTATATAAAAGTGGGAACTTCCCTTGCCAGTTCCGTGTGCCAGTTCCTGGTGTTGCAATGTACAGTATAATGAGAAATCTTAGGTTAACAACATAGACTATGGTTTAAAAATAAAGTAGTATCACAAAAAAAAAACGGAGTGGAAAGATCCTAAGCAGGCTGAAAGTCCTTTCAGCTATTTGAGACAGACAAAGCATAAAAAGACATTTAGCTTATTTATGAAACAAATATAGGTCACCTTCAAAGTGTGAAATGCTTGGCACTTAGTCCTGTGGTAGATTCCTGGAACAGAAGCCACGAATGAAGCTCTTTCAAATTGCAGCTACATTGAATCCGTTTCTGGGGTCTAGGGCACCTGGAGCAGGTACAGACTGATTGTTACAGTGCTCCCTATCATGGTTTGGAGGCAATGTGAGATTGGCCTTCAGAGTGCTTATTCATGAAGTGCGGAGGCTGCTCCGACGTGCTGGAATTCCAGCGTGTTGGAGCAGCCTCAAGTAATTGAGTCTGCTGGAGCGTGGCAATTACTGCGCTCCAGCAGCCTCCTGCGTCTCACGTATCTGTGTCCCCACGCTTAAAAATGGCCAGGGTCGTTTTGAACTAGAGGTCATTGAATGAGCTTTAGTTCAAGCACCCTCACCACCATTTTTAAGTGTGGGAATGCTGATACAGGAGATGCAGCGACACTTTAGTTAGTGGCTCAAGGTCAAGAATTGTGACCTTGAAAGAGCAAAAAGGGTAGTAAGCGGTTGACGTGTGGTGACCGTTGCTGGTCTGGTACCCATCCTTCATCTACATGTATCACCTATAGAAAGAATCATAGAAAATTAAGGTTGGAAGGGCCCTCAGGAGGTCATCTAGTGCAACCCCCTGCTCAAAGCAGGATCATCCCCACTTGTGTCTTTATATTTGGATTGCAAAGTTTAAAACTGTTGGTTATATATTTGGATGGTGTCTTAGATAAGGTAATTTTGCTTGGGGATTGCTCATTCAGTTATGGATCCTGGCCTGAATGCTTTGGTTTTCAGATCTGACTCATTATAGCTGTTGGTTGGAAGCAATTTATGGAAAACCTTTTCAAAAGTAATTGTGAATAATATGCACAACAAGAATTGCTTTTTAGATAGCTTTGGAATACATGTATACATTATATAATGGGCTATTTCCTGGCTCTGAATCCAATTGTAAAATTTACTGGTATGATGCTGTTGACTTAAGTTTGATAGGTGCAGTTTGATAAGGACTGCTATAGCTCTAGTTACTTCTTGGTAATGCTGCCTGTTCTATATTCATCAGCATATACTGCAGACTCCAAGTAAAATGAAACCATTGCGTTGTCACCTGCCAGTCATACATATCGTAGCCTGACACTGACGCCTCCCTCCTGACAAAGAGCATGTGATGTCTTGAGTGACACATTGAGCTTGTGCTTGGGAACAGACAAACTTGCTTTAGTACGGCAAGAGAAAATTGTTTTTGATGTAGGAAAATATTAGATTCATCACCACACTCAAAAGAATGATTTATTCATGTAAGTGTGTGTGTGTCTCTGTCTAATGGACTATACTCTGATATATACAATTCATTTGTTTGTGTCAAACTAAAACTGTTGGGTGAAAAACTGTCTTCCCAGCTGGAAACTGCGAGGAGTAATAGGAGGGTATTTTTTGAAACCTGGCTTTTTGCATTAGTAATAGCTTTCTGAGGTGAACCTATTTGAACTACAGTAATAAAACAAAATGCAGCTATGAAATGGGTGGGACAGGAAGAAAAGGAAATTTCTACTCTTGTATTAGAGCAGTCTGTGTGATAATGCTCTTCACAAAGCAGTCATGCAGGGAATAGGCTAAGGCACTTTCCATTTTAGAATCTAGTGGAGGAAAGAGACAGAAATTTGCTTTGGAATAAACACCAGGGTATAAGATTTCTGGATGGAAGGCAATTTTCTTTTCATGTTCTCAACATTTGTGAGCAGAAGTCTCCCAATGAGTTTTTGCAAGGCTATGATACTGGCCTATGATGAATATTTGTCTGCTTTGGGGTAGAGAAGTTAATTTACATGTAATTTTTTCTATTTTCTTCATACTCTGTTTCCTGGTTAGGTTGTTCCTTCAGTTACTGTTCTTGACTTTTCTGTGTCACCATTAGGAAAATGCAACAAGAATGGCAGGGATCTCCCAGTCAAGGACCAAACACCTCACTGGGGTAAATGAATGAAACTCAGTGGCAGACATAAACTTGGCCCAAATCCTTAATGGGCAGGGGGTGGAGTGACACATTATAGTACCCAGTTACTCATTAATCAGAAGTGGGCAGTGGCACTATTTCCCTCCCCCCCCCACACTTGTACTGTGAAAGGTGCTGGATTGACAGCCCTGGAAATTGAAGTCCTCTATTTCTCCACAGGACAGGTATAGCATGGGCGGCAGCAATGCAAGCTTCCCCACACTATCCCGCCAATGTGTCTCAACCCTGTTCTGAAGAGATCACTTCTGGAGGTGAGTGGGTAGCTTCAGCCCTTGGCTACTCTGGTTGCCAAGAAGGCTGCCATGCGTTGTTTTTTTGTTTGTTTTTTTTTAATTGGCTGGACACTGGTCCACAATGAAGTGAACTGAGACTGCCACTTGTCTTGCATAAGCCACCAAATAGCATTGTTATTAGCAATGAGGGCTGAATTCATTCTGATACATTATTTTAGTTCACTGCTGTTGCATGCAGTTGGATGGAACACCCAAAGTTTGTCCCACCTTTTTTCTCTGCTGTTGTTGCTTTTGGAGGCCATGTGACTGTTTTATGTACTTACATTCACATGCATGCAGATAACTTAGTGCACTTCCTTTCTAAACCTTGATACATAAAATCACTTCGTGCCAGCAGCCACCTTTGAGGAATGCATGCTTTGAAGCATGCAACAGTTTGTTAAAGAAATGAATCTCTTTTTCCTTTGTCTTAAGGGGCTACTTGTTTTCCAACATAAAACAATAACTTGATGGTATTTTAATGCTGAATATATCATTTATTTATTAACATGCACAATGGAAACTGATGCTTTTACTATGAAGTCAGCAGTTGTAAAATTTATATAAAATAGGTTAGAACCTGCAGCACCCTAAGCTCCTATGAAAAGATGATAAACGACACCCGGTAAGCACTTGAGTTCTATAAAGAAAATGGCTTATAATAGAACACTTGGGAGGAATCATAGAAAATTAGGGTTGGAAGGGACCTCAGGATGTCCTCTAGATCAACCCCCTGCTCAAAGAAGGGCCATCCTCAAGTAGATCATCCCAACCAAGGCTTTGTTTAGCTGAGTCTTAAAAACCTTCAAGGATGGAGATTCCACAACCTCTCTGGGTAATCTGCTCCAGCGCCTTATTACCCTCCTTGTGAGAGAATTTTTCCTGATATCTAATTTAAATTTTCCTTGCTGCAACTTGAGACCGTTGCTCCTTGTTCTGTCATCTGCCATGGTCTAACACTATCCTCTTTGTAAGCACCCTTCAGGTACTTGAAGGCTGTTGTTAAATCACCCCTTAGTCTTCTCTTCTCCAGACTAAACAAACCCAGTACTCTCAGCCTCTCTGCATGAGTCATGTGCCACAGCTTCCTAACCATTTTTGTTGCCCTCCACTGGGCTCTCTCCAATTTATCTACATCCTTTCTATAATGGGGTGCCAAAAACTGGACACAGTACTCCAGATATGGCCTTTCTAGTGCCAAACAGAGGGGAAAAATCGCTTCCCTCAGTCTGCTGGGAATGCTCCTACTACTGCAGCCCAGTATGCTGATAGCTTTCTTCACAACAAGGGCACGCTGTTGGCTCATATTCAGCTTATTGTCCACTGTAACTCCCAGGTCTTTTTCTACAGAGCTGCTGCTTAGCCAGTCAGTCACCAGCCTGTACTAGTGCATGAAATTGTTCCATCCTAACTGCAGGACATTGCACTTCTTCTTACTGAACCTCATATATTTCTTTTAGTCCTATCCTCCAATTTTCAAGGTCTCTCTGAATCTTACCCCTACCCTCCTGCATATCAACTACTCCTCCTAGGTTGGTGTCATCTGCAAACTTGCTGAGGGTGCACTCCATCCATTTTCTGCATCATTGATGAAGACATTCAACAAAACTGGCCCAGGACTGACCCTTGGGGCACTCCACTTGATACCAGCTGTCAGCTAGACAGCAAGCCATTGATTACTAGCCTTTTAGCCCAGTGATCCAGCCGGTTTTCTATTCCCTTTACAGTCCATTCATCTAACCCAGTGGTCACCAACCAGTGGGTCTTGATCCACTGGTAGATCATGGAGCCTCTTGGAGTTGATCTGAGGCTGGGGTGCAGGGCTGATTGCCCACATGTATGCACGCGTGCGCTCCAGCCCAGCCTGTCAGTTCATGGAGGAGGGAAGGGGCGGGGGCTAGATCGAGTCCCCCGTGGTGAGGGACAGTGCCGCAGAGGCAGTAAGTTGAGTGGGGCCCTGGCCAGGTGGGACTTACCTGCTGGGGAGGCATGCCCCCGCCCTTTCCCTCCCCATAGACTTACCTGCTCGGCACGGGGGTGAAGGGGTGGCCGTGGCAGCAGCACACAGTAGATTTTGGGTTGCTTTTAAATGCCAAAGATGATTTCCTACTTAAAAAGGTTGGAGACCACTGATCTAACCCGTACTTCCGTGGCTTGCACGTGAGAATGTTGTGGGAAACCATATCAAAATCCTTGCTAAAGTCAAGGTAGATCACATCCACTGCTCCCTCTGTGTTCACAGAGCCAGTCATTTCATCATAGAAGGCAATCAGGTTGGTCAAGCATGACTTGCCCTAGGTGAATCCATGCTGACTGTTCCTAATCACTTCCTTCTCCTCCAGGTGCTTAGAAATGGATTTGTTGAGGACCTGCTCCAGTCCTTCTTCCAGGGACTGAGGTGAGGCTGACCAATTCATAGTTCCCTGGATTCTCCTTCTCCCTGTCTTAAAGATAGGTACTATATCTGCCCTTTTCCAATCATCTGGGACCTCTCCCAATCTCCACAAGTTTTCAAAGATAATGGCCAGTGGCTCTGCAGTCACATTGGCCAACTCCCCCAGCATGCTCAAGTGCCCAGTCCTTCTTCCAGGGACTGAGGTGAGGCTGACCAATTCATAGTTCCCTGGATTCTCCTTCTCCCTGTCTTAAAGATAGGTACTATATCTGCCCTTTTCCAATCATCTGGGACCTCTCCCAATCTCCACAAGTTTTCAAAGATAATGGCCAGTGGCTCTGCAGTCACATTGGCCAACTCCCCCAGCATGCTCAAGTGCATCGCGTCCAGTCCTATGGACTTGTACACCTCCAGCTTTTCTAAGTAGTCCATAACCTGTTCTTTCACTACTCTTGGCTGTTCACCTCCTCCCTAAATGGTGCTGCCAGGTGCAGTAGTCTGGGAGCTGACCTTGCCTGTGAAGACTGAAGTAAAAAAAGTCATCAAGTACTTAAGCCTTTTCTGTGTCATCTGTCACTGGGTTGCCTCCCCCATTCAGTAAGCTATTCACACTTTCCCTGATCTTCCTCTTGTTGTTGACATACTTGTAGAAACCGTTCTCATTACCCGTCATGTCCCTTGCTAGCTGCAACTCCAATTGCACGTTGACCTTCCTGACTTCATTCCTACATGCCCAAGCAATACTCTTATACTTCTCCCTAGTTTTTTTGTCTAAGTTTCCACTTGTAAGCTTCCTTTTTGTGCTTTAGCTTACTGAAGAGTTCCCTGCTAAGCCAAGCTGGCCTTCTGCAATACTTGCTAGTCTTCCTGCTCATTGAAATGGTTCATTCCTGTGCCTTCAGTAAGGTTTCTTTAAAATACAGCCAGTTCTCTTGGACTCCTTTCCTCCTCAGACTGGCCTCCCCGGGGATCTTGCCCATCAGTTCCCTGAGTGAGTCAGAGTCTGCTTTTCTGAAGTCCAGGGTCCTTATTCTACTGCTTTCCTTCCTTCCTTTCCTCAGGATCCTGAACTCAATCGTCTTGTGGTTGCTGCTGCCCAAGTTGCCATCCACTTCTACATTCCCCACCAATTCTTCCCTGCTTGCGAGTCGCAGGTCAAGAGGAGCACAACCCCTGGTTGACCTCTTCAACACTTGTACCAGGAAGGTGTCTCCAACACTCCATATATTCCTGGATTTTCTGTGTGCTGCTGTATTGCCCTCCCAGCAGATGGCAGAGTGATTCAAGTTGCCCATGTGAACTAGTGCCTGTGACTGGGAAACTTCTGTTAGCTGTTTGAAGAAACGAGTCGCAGGTCAAGAGGAGCACAACCCCTGGTTGACCTCTTCAACACTTGTACCAGGAAGGTGTCTCCAACACTCCATATATTCCTGGATTTTCTGTGTGCTGCTGTATTGCCCTCCCAGCAGATGGCAGAGTGATTCAAGTTGCCCATGTGAACTAGTGCCTGTGACTGGGAAACTTCTGTTAGCTGTTTGAAGAAAGCCTCATCTACCTCATCCTCCTGGTCTGGTGGTCTATAGTAGACACCCACTACAACATCACCCTTGTTTTTCTCCCCTCTGACCCTAACCCAGAGGTTTTTAACGGGTCTATTTCTAGTTTCATACTGGAGTTCTGAGCAATCATACAGCTCTTTTACATAAAGTGCAACTCCTTCTCTTTTCCCCTGCTTGTCCTTCCTGAACAGTTTATGACAGTGCTCCAGTCATGCGAGCTATCCCACCAAGTCTCTGTTATTCTGATCATGCCATAGTTCTGTGACTGCGTAAGGACTTCCATTTCTTCCCGCTTCTTTCCCTGGCTCTGTGTACTTGTGTACAGACACTTGAGGGTAACTAGCTGACTGTCCTACTTTCTCAGAAAGAATGAAAAATAATTCTTTATTGCGACAAAAACCTTGCAATATAAAAGTAAAATGGCAACTCACCTATTTGGAAGATGAACAGTTGTGCTGCTAATTGATGTTCTTGAAATTACAAATCTTCAAGTCTTGTACTTTAAACAAGCATGGTGAATACTATTCTGTCTCCTAGAACATTCCACATATTGTGGTTTTCTGAGTTCTTTGCAGTGGAAGAATTGCTCTATTATTTTTCTGTAGTCAAAAAACAAGTGAAAACTAAGAGCTGTTAGTTTCTGAGGGGTGCCTTGAGTCTAAGGGGTGCTTTGAATATAAAAAAGTTGAGAAATACTTTTTTAAAGGTTGGCTTCCTGGTCTATAAGTTTCAGATTCAGAACTGAGTTCCCCCATGTCTGTAGCACTTGGAATCCAGAATTTTGTCTTGAAATAAGCAGAATTACAGCCTGCAAGGGGCTGCTTGGGGCTGGGGGGAGCGGAATGCAGGGGTAGCCATGCACATGTGTAAATGCACATATGCAAGTGGCAGGCAAGCAGGGTGGTGGAGAGCATCTCCTGCAGCTTCCTCCAGGTAAGCCTTTCTGGGGGTGGGAGGCACAGGCAATACATTCGGGGGCGGGGGAGTACAGGCAACATGTTGGAGGTGCAGATGGGCCAAGCTGA